ATACCTGTCAGATTGACTAAAACTAATAAGATAAGAAACAGGTTTTGTTGAGTATACAGCAAGATGGCAACCCTCTTGCACTGCTGGTGGGAATCTAAACCAGTGTAGCCACTCTGGAGAACAGTATGGTTGTTTCCCAAGAAAGTAATAATAGAACTACCCTATGATCCAGCAATTGCACCATTAGGTATTTACCCAAAGGACACAAAAATACAGATTTGAAGAGGAAATGCACCCCAGTGTTTAAAGCAGCACTAACAACAATAGTCAAGCTAAGGAGAGAGCCCAAATGCCCATCCACTGATGAATGGATAAAGATGTGACGCATATATATATATATAACGGAATATTACTGAACCATCAAAGAGAATGAAACATTGTTATTTTCAATTACATGGATGGAGCTAGAATGTATTATGCTAAGAAAAATAAGTCAATCAGAGAAAAACAAATACCATATAATTTTACTCATATGTGGAAATTAACAAACAAAACACATGAACATATGGGAAGGAGAGAAAAGAGGGAAGCAAACCATAAAAGACTTTTTTTTAACTTTATTTATGTATTTTCAGAGACACAAAGCATAAGTGGGGGAAGGGCAGAGAGAAGGAGACAGAATCCCAAGCGGGTTCTGTACTGTCAACAGAGCCTGACATGGGGTTCAAACTCAGAAAACTCTGAGATCATGACCTGAGTCGAAACCAAGAGTTGGACACCTAACCAACTGATCCACCAGGCACACCAAGGGACTCTTAAAGATAGAGAACAAAGTATGGCCTGACAGAAGAGGGCACTTGTATTGAGCACTGGGTATTTTATATAAGTGATGAATCACTGAATTCTACTCTTGAGACCGATCTTGGCCTATATGTTAACTAATTTAAATTTAAAAAGGGGGAAATTTTGTATGTATGTATGTGTGTATGTATGTATGTTTTTATTATGATCTATTTTAGCTTAACTTAAAACTAAAATACAACAGATTTAGGAAAGACATAATACATACAATAGTTATCAAAGAAAATTCACCTTTTTTTGTCAATATGCCATGAGTTATATAGATATAGATTGATCTTTCTATCATCTCTCTCTCTCTCTCATCTATCTATCATCATTCTATCTATGTATCCATCCATCCACCAACCTGTTAACTATATGAACAATGTAATGTGGATGCTTATCGTTGAAAATTCAGGAAAGAAATCATATGGACATTGCATAAATTATTTTCCTTTTGTCAGGGAAGAAATCATATGGACATTGCATAAAGTCTTTTCCTTTTTCCATATACTATTTCTATATTTCTATTCTATATTTAAAACTAATAGCACAATACATCCTACTTTTAAGTGCATTTCCCCCTGATTGCCACAGTAAAAAAATTGAAGTATTAAATTTTAGTGATATTCATTTGGTAAGCTATGTACTGGAATGTTCTATAAAGATATACACATATTTTTGGTCAAACTCCATGATACAATTCTTTTGTTTTCCTGAAAATTTTTATTTAAATGCCAGTTAATTAACATACAGTGTAATAATATAATAGGTTCAGGTGTAGAATTTAGTGATTCATCACTTACATGCAACACCCAGTGCTCATCAGAACAAATGCTCTCTATCATACCCATCACCTATTTAACCAACCCCCCTGCCAACCTCTGCTTCAGTAACCCTCAGTTTATTTTATATATTTCAGTCTGTTTTTTGGTTTGCCTCTCTTCCCCATTCACCCCGCTCATTTGTTTTGTTTCATAAATTCCACATATGAGTAAAATCATCTGGCATTTGTCTTTCTCTTACTGACTTATTTCACTTGGCACAATACTAACATTCTCTAAGTCAATACATATACCACTTCTTATTATTTATTTATTTATTTTTAATTTTTAAAAAACATTTTAAAGTTTTTATTTTTGAGAGAGAGACAGCATGAGCAGGAGAAGGACAGAAAGAGAGGGAGACATAGAGTCCGAAGACAGGCTCCAGGCTCTGAGCTAGCTATCAGCACAGAGCCCGACATGGGGCTTAAACCCACAAACCTCGAGAAATCATGACCTGAGATGAAGTCAGATGCTCAACCAACTGAGTCACCCAGGAGCCCCCACTTCTTCTTTATCTATTTATCAGTCAATGGGTATCAGTCAAGGTTAGCGTATTTATATTAATTGTTAATTTTTAAGATATTTTAACTGATGAATCTGAAATTTGGAGATAATTATCAGGTGAACTTACATTTCTCTTAAAAATGTAAATTGTTGCTACCATTTTAGAAGCCACTTGGCATAATTACAAAGCCATGAACATTTTCATGTCCTGTGAACTAGCAATTCCAGTCACATATGTATCCCCAATATAAGTTCTTGTCCTTAGGAAACAGGGGCATATACAACAATTTTCATTAATTCAACATATGTAATAGTATAGAATTGAAAATTGTCTATCATCCATCAACCAAAATATAAGCATATATTTGATAAAGTTAAAAAGAGAATTTTATCTAACAGTAAAAATGAATGTTCCACAGTTGCAATCACTATATCAATACACTAAAATAATGTCAAGGGAAGGAAAGTTGTAAAACAAATCAACTATAACATAATGACTGTTTATACTGTTCAAAACATTGATGGTGAACATCTTATAATTTTCCATGAATATATATTTGGTAATTACATAATATAGCAAGACAATGATAGTCTAGAAATTCAGAACAATGGGTGAGGCACATGGATAGGGTAGAAGATCTGAAGAGATCTAACAATTTTACACTTTTAATTCTTGGACTGTTGGTAGGCACATTATATTATAAACAAATAAGCTAAATACAGAAAGATATCCATGAACCAAATAATGTAATTAATTTTGAATGAAGAATCTCCCCAAGACAAATAAAATTGTTATGAATATCATTGAGAATGGACACATATATGTCAAAGTCTCTAACATATTTGAAAATGTATGTATATATTTATATTTATTTATAGTTTTCCTTTTGTACATTTTTAGAGGTTTTTATTTAATTTCGAGTCAGTTAACCTACAGTGTAATATCAGTTTCAGGTGTACAACACAGTGATTCAACACTTCCATATGACATGCAGTGCTCATCAGAAATATATTTTAACTTTAGCACCAATCCATTGCATTACATACACCAACACTGAAACACTAGGACAATTTTATATATTCCTGTTCAGAATATTTGATATTAATACCACAATTTAATTATGTTATTAAAGTTAAGCATAAACCTCATCTATGACCAGACAATTTTATTACTAAAGATATACTAAAAAATCTCAGTGCATATGACCATAAGAAAATTTTTGTATAGGGAGCATTATAGCAGTTTTATTTTTAATAGCTGAAAATATCAAAGCATCTAATAAAACAATAGTGATATACGCATATAATGGAGTGCTAGTCAGCAATAAAAACAATGGCATAATTGCACAAGAGAAGTTTTTGTTTGATTCTATCAATAAACGATTCCATATAATGTTGATGGAAGTCTGAATAATGACCACTGTACAGTTGAAGGAGCACAAAGGAATAGGGTGATGGAAATGTCACTTCTGTGGGTTTCCTCAACAGCAACAATGATGATTCCTTACTTACAGCTTTTATTTCAAGATCTTTTTTTAAAAATTTTTAACGTTTATTTATTTTGAGAGACAGAGAGAGATGGAGCATGAGCAGGGAAGGGGCAGAGAGAGAGGGAAACACAAAATCTGAAGCAGGCCCAGATGCGGGGCTCGAACCCACAGACCGCAAGATCATGACCTGAGCCGAAGTCGAACACTTAACCGACTGAGTCACCCAGGCGCCCCTTATTCCAAGATCTTAATACAATTCTCTGTTCTGTTCATCTTATTGCCTCACATTTTACATCGTATCTATGCACAAGTCACAGATGTCTGCTTTCTACTAAGCTCTGGACTGGTCACTTTATGCTACTCTACCTTTATCACTCTTATTTAAGGTAGTATCTTGTAACAACTGCACTACTGCCATGATCTCCTAATTGGCCATTTCAATTTTCTCTGCAAACACAGCAATAGTTGCCAGTTTTGTTGGTTTAAAAACAAAACTCCTCACACTAGTCAACCTTGTATTTTGAATACTTCAGTAACTCTCTTCATATCCTACAACCCACCAACTTACTCCTTGATTTTCTTTGACTTGCCAGTCACATTCTCTTCTCAAGAAAATTTCACTTACTCTTTCCTATGCCCCAAACATTCTTTATGAGATATTCATTTGGCAAATCTTAGTTCAATTTTTTACTAAATATTATTCTCACAGTTGTCTACTCATGGGATATTTTATATAAAATTACAAAATTCTCTGCTTTCCCTAACCCAATCTCCAGGTATATTTTCCCATTCCTCACTCCTAGAACTATCCTGGTTTTTTCATAGTTATTTTATTAATTTTATGTTTCACCACATTGAAATGCAAATTTAATGAGATCAGAGATTTCTGTTAACTCTTATCTTTGTTTACCTCAAATCACCAATGTCTGTAGCAGTGTCACACACATAATTAAAACGCTAAATCAGTTGTGTACTGAATGAATAAATGAGTGAATTATGTACTCTCCTATACCTTACAGATTTCTTCCATAGATCCTTTTAATGTTATGTGTTTCAATAGGTTGCATTTCCTATTTGTTGAGTTTCAGGATTAAGGAGGACATTACAAAATATTTGTTGTGAGGTACAAACATTGAGTTGATGGGAATGAAATCTATTGCTTTAGACGCCAGATAATGTTAACAATAACACAATTTTCCCAGAAAATTTCCCACAATTTTCCCTCAAAAACTGTCCTTAGGCCATTTTAAAACCAGCAGGAATAAAGGTATTTATCAGTTTAATTATTTCCTAAATATTTCTTAGAGTTTATATGTTCCAAAACATTCCAAGCAGTGTTCTATATAGCTCAATCTCAATCATAGGAGTTCTTAAGTTATATTTTATGTACAAATATCCATTATACCAATAGTCTTCTCATGGCCTCAATAACCTCCTTATTCCTCAGACTGTAGATAAATGGGTTCAGAAGAGGTGTGATGATGGTGTAAAACACTGCCACTGCTTTATCCTGCCCTGGGGAGTGCAAAGAGTGTGGCCTTGTATAGGTGGACAGACCTGTAATATAGAATAAGCTTGCCACAATCACGTGAGAGGAGCAAGTAGAGACAGCTCTTGTCTGTCCTTTACCAGAGCTCATCTGGAAAACCACAGTAAGCACACAGGCATAGGAAGCTAGAATGGCCATGAATGGTAACATCAGAATAATAAGACCACTCAGGAGGATTGTATTCTCATACTGGGAAGTATCCTGACACACCAGTGGCAATAGAGATGGAACTTCACAGAAAAAGTGGTTAACAATCCGAGACCTACAAAATGGAAGATGAAACACATACAATGTATGTATTAATGCATTGATAGAGCTACTGGCCCATGCACATATGACAATGAACCAACCAATCTTCTTGTTCATGAGTACAGGATAATGTAAAGGGTAACAGATAGCTACATATCGATCATAGGACATAAAGCCAAGAAGAAGGGCTTCAGTTCCACCAAGGACCAAGAACACAAAGGTTTGAATCTCACAGCCTAAGAAAGTAATGGTATTACTATTTGACAGAAAGTTAGTGGCCATCTTGGGCACCGTGGTGGTGATGTTCATTATATCCATGAAGGAAAGCTGACTGAGTAGAAAGTACATTGGAGTGTGGAGTCTGGTGTCCACTTGAATGAGAAGGATCAGTATGACATTTCCCACCAGAGCCACTGAAAAGAGGATTGCAATGGCAACAAAGAGAAAAATATCCATTTGACCATATTGGAAAAGACCAGAAAGAATAAAATCTGTTTGAACACTTTGATTTCCTGAGTTCATAGTTTAAATTGAAATATCAAAGCAGATCATATCCTTATATTCCATGTAAGACATTTCCTTTAAGAGAAAACAAAATGTTTATTATTACATGCCTTATATTGCCTCCATACCATTTTGCTAGGCAAGTGAAATATCCAGACTGTACACTACTTTTATTTCTTCCAAAATGAGTGGAAAATAAAATTATCATATTATAGTAACTTTGAGAGAGTAAGTCCTGTATTATCAGAAGTTAATAAAAATATTCACACACAAGACAACTTGTACAGAATGTATGATTATTCAGTTTCCTTTAGCTCTGACATTTCTTTTGATCATCAAACAAATTAATCACACTAGGTTTCCCAATGAATTTATAATAGTATGAAATGTAATTTTACAGTTCTGTCCAGTTTGAAAAATCTATTTTACCTTCTCATTTTCTTTTCAATAAGTACAAATTCTTAGATCTTTTGTTAAGCATATGCAAAACACTTTACTCAAGTTTTCTTCCAATATCGATTCTAAAGATAATACTCTGGTAAGTACTAAAAGCATTGACAGGCAGAGAAGGAGAGATACCATATGTTTACATGTATAGGTAGATTAGGAGGAATTTATGGAGGGCCATGAGGGAAGAGAATGGGAAAGATAGATGGGGAGACAGAGGGAGTCAAACCATGAGAGTTCTCTTGAATGCTGAGAACAAACTGAGAGTTGATGGGGGTGGGAGAGAGGGGAGGGGGGTGATGGACACGGAGGAGGGCACTTGTTGGGATGAGCACTGGGTGTTATACGGAAACCAACCTGACAATAAACTATTTAAGAATAAATAAATAAATAAATACCCCCCCAAAAATAAAAAAAAATTAAGTCCAACATTTCAGAGAAAAAAAAATTAAAAATAAAAGCATTGAATGCTATTAAAAAAACCCTCTGTAAAGTCAAATAACTCAATATTAGTCTCTGAAACCTGTAACATACTATGAATAAAATAAATATTTCAATAAATACAGAATTCTTAGGACATTTAAAGCATAAATAAAGTTTTCTAATTGTTTTTTTATCCATCTCTGATTCCAAAAATATATATATGTACTGTTGTAAATGTTAAAAACATTGAAAGCTACAAAAACTTCTCTATAAAGTTCCAGATTAATTTCAAGCTATGGTACTTATAATGTAGTGTAAGTTTAAACATATTTCACATAATAGATGAGCGAAAAATGCTAAAGGGAATGTTAAATGAGAAGCACTTCAGAGAAATTATATATCTCTTTCTCCAAAAATAAATCCCCTAACTCCAGGCTCAATCTCCAAAATCCAAAGTTACTTTCTAGAAGTAGATAAAATTCCAAAAGTGAAGTTTACTGCACATTAGTATAAAATACATACATTGAGGACAGATAGCTTTTATAATATTATGTTAATCAATATAATTTAAGCACAATTGCCAATCATAAAAAAAAAACTGTAATTTAAAGGCAGTTCTGATGCATTAAGTAATATTGTGGAATTTCAATATGAGCCAGCCAATTTAAAATATCATCCTCAGTATTGATGGGAATGAAAACTGGTACAACCAGTTTGAAAAATAGTATGGAGTTTCCTCAGAAAGGTAAAAATAGAACTAATTGTATATTTGATAAAGTTGTTTACATAGACATTTTTTACTTTCAGTGTATGGATTTAATAATATTTAACTTGTTCTAAAATCTGCCATGGTAAATGTAAACTTTAATATTGCTTTCTCTCTCTTTCCAAAGGTTTTAGTTTTGGTTTAAAAAAAAAAACTTTAAGGGATACCTGGGTGGCTCAGTTGGTTGAGCAACCCACTTTGACTCAGGTCATGATCTCAAAGTTCATGGGTTCAAGCACTGCATTGGATTGCTTACAGCTGTGAGTGCGGTGGATCCTCTGTCCTTCTCTCTCTGTGTCCCTCCCCCACTTGCTCTCTCTCACTCTCAAAAATAAATATGAACATTAAAACACACTTTAAAATTATGGTATTATAGGGTGCCTGGGTGGCTCAGTTGGTTGAGTGTCCAACTTCAGCTCAGGTCATGATCTCACGGTTCGTGAGTTTGAGACCCACTTCCAGCTCTGTGCTGACAGCTAAGAGCCTGGAACCTGCCTCAGATTCCATGTCTCCGTCTCTCTCTGCCCCTTCCCCACTTGTACTCTGTCTCTCTCTCTCTCTTTCTAAATAAATAAATAAATAAACATTAAAAAATAATTTAAGAAACTAAACAAATCATTTAAAAATAAATAAAATTATGGTATTATATTTTTCTTTCAAGGTTTTGTTTCAATTCAAGCTAACTAACATATAGTGTAGTATTGGTTTCAAGAGTAAAGTTTGCTGATTCATCACTTACATATAACACCCAGTGCTCATCACAACAAGTGCCCTCCTTATTTCCCATCACCCATGTAGCCATCCCCCCCACCTTCCCTCTCCAACCCTCAGTTTGTTCTCTACAGTTAAGAGTCCCTTGGGGCGCCTGGGTGGCTTAGTCAGTTGAGCGTCCGACTTTCGCTTAGGTCATGATCTCGCGGTTCGTGGGTTCGAGCCCCGCGTCGGGCTCTGTGCTGACTGCCAGCTCAGAGCCTGGTGCCTGTTTCAGAGTCTGTGTCTCCCTCTCTCTCTGAACCTCCCTTGCTCACGCTGTCTCTCTCTCTCTCTCTCTCCTAGAAATAAATAAAATATTTAAAAAAAAAAGAGTCCCTTATGGTGTGCTTTCCTTTCTGTTTTACCTTATTTTGATTTTCCTTCACTTCCCCTATGTTCATCTGTTTTGTTTCTTAAGTTCCACAAATGATTGAAATTATATGATATTTGTGTTTCTCTGACTGATAAATTTTGCTCAGCATAACCCACTCTAGTTCCATCCGTGTTGTTGCAAATGGCAAGATTCATTTTTTGTGACTGAGAAATATTCCATGGCGCATATATATATATATGTATATGTATATATATATATATATATATACATATATATATAATATATATTATTATATATGCCACAACTTCTTTATCCATTCATCAGTCAAGAGACATTTGGTTTCTTTTCATACTCTGGCTATTGTTGATAGTGCTTATATGAACAATGGGGTGGATGTGCCCCTTCAAGTCAGCATTTTTACATTCTTTGGATAAACATCTATTGGTGTCTGTTGGGTATCTAAGAGCCAAATCAAGAAACAGACTCTTAATTTTGAAGAACAAACTGATTGTTGTCAGAGGGGAGGAGAGAGGGAAAGGTTTAATAGGTGATGGTAATTCAGAAGAACACTTTTCATGATGAGCCCTGGATAAAATATGGAATTGTTGAATCATTATATTTTATACCTGAAACTAATGTAATACTATATGTTAATTAACTGGAATTAAAATTTAAAAAATAAAAAGGCATTTAGGTCTGTAGTTATTTTCATCATAATAAAACCACTTTTGATTCTTATTAAAGTCCACAGATACGTTTGCATTATTTTTCTCCACATTTCCCTTAAATTTTGAATTCTCCTTTTTTATAAAAAAAAACCTAATGGGCATGGAGGAGGGCACTTGTGGGGATGAGCACTGGGTGTTATATGGAAACCAACTTGACAATAAACTATTTAAAAAACCTTTAATGTAAATTTTATTTATTAGATAATTCATGCCAAGAGATAGAAACTAAAGAAACAAATAGAAATAGAAACCAAGCATATAGACCAGGGTGCTTGGGTGGCTCAGTCAGTTGAGCATCCGACTTCTGCTCAAGTCATGACCTCACAGTCCGTGGGTTCGAGCCCCACGTCGGGATCTGTACTGACAGCTCAGAGCCTGGAGCCTGCTTCAGATTCTGTGTCTCCCTCTCTGTCTGCCCCTCCCTTGCTTGCTCTCTGTCTCTGTCTCTCAAAATAAAAGACATAATAAAAAAAAAGAAACCAAGCATATAGAAAAATGTTACCTCCTTCAATTTTTAGTCAGCAATAAGGTAAATATAAAAATGGAATCATTAATAATAACCAGCCCTCGTATGGAACTATACAACTTACAAAATATTTAATTTTAAGAGAATGCATAAAATTCTTACCATGTACTTTGTATTTCCTGGAATACTTTTTTTACACACTTACGTTATTCAAAAATATTGTTGGATATAAATTTGCTCTAAATATAATGCAAATTGCTATGGTTGAAAGAAGAAGAAACAAACATGCTTACTAGCCCAAATGAGAATACAAAGATGGTCTAAGGTCATGCTCTCTTAAATAAAGTATACACACTGCTAACAAACTCTGGCCCTACCTAACAGTGACAAGATGGCCTCCATCCCTTTGTCCGTTAAACCTGGGATCATTCAAATTCAATATAACATCAAAGAAACCTCAACTACTTACTTCTACAGTATTTTTATAGAAATCAACTAAGTAATATGTTGATAACATAACCAATCAGAAGTAGTCCCAGGTGAGTATATACACATGTTATATGCATAATAGAATCCATTCTACATAATCATCAATATGAAATGCATCTCTTTAGATAGTACACCTGAGTATAATTGTATGTTTTCCTTTTCAATAGAAGTTGTAGTAAACTTGTCAAGGCACTTTGAATTATTTTCACTTACTGCGGAGAACTCAGCAGATTCCACACTCATTGATAGCTGAGTGATTGTTACTGTGAAGATTTCTTTCCTTCCATCAAGCCATGTCTTTGAAAGCAAAGAAAAATATATTTCTGTAAAATACTATATTTTATTCTATATAGCAGATATACAAATTTTCCTTAATCTAAAAAATAATTAATCTAAAAGCCATTTCCTTGGAGGCACAAATCCTCTTACACAGAGCTCTATTTCATTCTTCTAGAATTTTGTTCCTAAAATAAAACATTAAAAGAGGATGAAAGATGTATCTATATATAGAAAAGATCCCTAACACATACCGAAGAGCATTAATTATAGAGCTACAGTAATTTCTTCTTTAGTAAAAATTTAATAAAACGTATGGTATTTGTTGATCATGTATATAAAAACAGTTACACAGGCAGAGCCACATATATTCTGAATAAT